TGAGGAGAGTGAGGAGGAGGGATCAAGTGATGCAGAGCTTGCACCTGTTGCTTCTCTGGTGGAGGGTGGGAAGGGGAGCGGACGGGGGAGCGGGAGAGGGAGTGGAAGGGATAGCGGACGCGGGAGCGGGAGGGAGAGTGGAAGCAGGAACGGCAGCAGGAGCGGGAGCAGAAACGCGAGTGAGCATCCTGCTGGGTTTAGAGACGGATGGGGAGGGGATTCATTGGATGGGAGCATGGAAGAAGACGAAGAAGAAGAGGAAGACGAGGAGGAGGAGAGTGATGATGACGATCCCGCAAGGAGTGGGTATGAACCCCCCCTGGCAATGCCTGTGGCAGCAGCAGGAAGAGGAGGAGGAGGAGGAGCAGGTCAGAAGAACATGAGGGGTAACCGCTGGGCTGGGGGTGGTGGTGGCGAGAGCAGCAGGGACGGCGACAGCAGCACAGCAGGAGGGGATTTCATGAGTGAAGCAGATTCGGAGTTCGGTGTCCCGATAGCCATGCCGCTGGATGCAGAGGAGAAGAGAAGGATTATTCGAGCCGCTTTGCCTGTTCATAGTGAGGATGATAGTGGTAGCGGGGAGGAGCAAGGGAGGAGGCGGAGAAGGGGTGGTGGTGCTGGTGGTGGTGAGGAGGATAGTGAGGAGAATGAGTATACTGAGAGTGGCGACGAGGGGATTGAGACGGGAGAGTTTACGAGCGAGTTTGCTCCACCCATCGCCATGCCTCTTATTCACGGCACAGCTGTTGCTGTAGATGATGATGATAGTAACTTCAGCAGCCAGGAATTGGATGAGGAGGAGGAACAGGAGGAAGAGGAAGAGGACGAGGAAGGAGGAGCAGGAGGGAGAGGTGGTGGGAAAGGGAGGAGGAAGAACCGGAGCAGAGGCAGCAGCCGCCGTAACCAGGACTCGTTCAGCGATGCAAACAGTGAGCTCGGCGCTCCGATCGCCATGCCGGTGGCCTCAGACTACGAGAGCAGTCAAGGGGACTGGGCCGATCAGAACGAGTTCTCCCGAAGGCCCAGCCAGAACAGCAGCAGCGGCATGCTCGCCGCCCGCCCGTCCTCCTCCTCCTCCCGCATTCCTGTCGGCGGCAGCAGCAGGAAAACCGCCGGTTTGCCTCCAGCCGTGCCCCGACCGAAGGGCGCGGCGGGTGGAGGAGGAGGAGGGAGGAGGAGGAGGAGGAGGAGGAGGAGGAGGAGGAGGAGGAGGAGGAGGAGGAGGAGGAGGAGGAGGAGGAGGAGGAGGAGGAGGGGATGGGCTGCGGGCACAGAAGGCCATGGTGGATGCTCAGAATCCGTTCCGGGGAGGAGGAGGGCCGCCGTCTGTGGCGTCTTCTCAGGATTACACAGTGGTGCAGGGGACTGGGAGGAGGGCGGTTGTGCCGCTGAGAGGAGCTTCTGGGTCCGGGAGGAGTGGTGGAGGGGGGCGACTGTCGGAGGATGAGGGGTCGATGCATGGCGGGAATGTGTCGGCACGACTAACTGGACCTGCTAGGTGCGTGGTTGTGGGTTTGAATTTGGGTTTGGGTTTGGGTGTGAGTTTGGGTTTGGGTTTGAAATTTCTGTGCTTTGAGATGTGTGTGAAGATGGGTGGTTCTAGCTGTTTGGTTTTTACTGTGTGGCTTCTGCTATGGCTGTTTGCATTGTGCTTCGCTGCCTTTTTTCTCACCCCAACTCTCTCACTGTCTCTCTCATTCACCCTCACATGTGCTGTGCCGGCATACACAGTCGCTCACTCACTCTCGTACTCACACCTTTCCCCAACCCACATTGCGACTTTCCCCCAATTTCTCCCTCACCAGAACCTCCAGCCTGCAATCCGACGGCTCTCCTTCGCTCAACCACACCAACACGCAGCGATCCAACCATTCATCCGGGCGGGGGGGCGCACGAGCAGACACGATCGACAGGGAGGGGAAGAGCAGGAGGAGCGGGAGGGCCAGCAGTGGAGACAGCTGGGCAGAGCAGAAACGCGGGACGAGCGGAAGAGGAGGCAAGAAGGACGAAGAGGAGGAGGATGTTTCCGGGAAGGATCTGGAAGAACCAAATGAGAAGCTGTGGGAGGAGGACGGCGGAGGGTTGAGGCGGATTGAGATGGATGAGTCGAAGCGGCTGCGGAGTGCTGTGTCTTCTGGCTCGTGCTTCCTGCAGTGCATGTTCAAACGCCCAGCCACCAAGGACTGAGCTTTGAGGCGTGTGTTGAAACTTGTTCGGAGCGGCGTATTGTTGTTTTAAGCGTGTCGTGCGGGGAGGGTGCGGGCAGCAGGTATACAGAAAGGTGGAAAATGCAAGCAAGATGCCGCTGGTCTTGGTTGTCTGAAGCTATGACGTCAACATGATACAATTATTGGTGGTTAGGGATAATCTTGCATGTAAATATTTGCGGTAGGTACGTATTGTGTCTACATCTTTCTATCAGTGCATTACAATCGTATCGCATAGAATATCATGGTTGCTATTTAAGGTGGAACGACTTACTGAAGGGTAGGATAGGAGGCATACTGGAATCCAAATTCAAAAGGGCACAAGGGGTACGCATTGCACATCAAAACGTGCTCAACGGGAGAGTCACTCTTCAACGGGATGCAAATAATACGATTCCAAGTCGACGCCGGCCCATACTCTGCTTTCAAGGTCTCCAGCGATATGATCTCGTTGAAGGCGGCCTTGACTGTGGTGACAATGCGGTTCAAGGTCAGGTCGAGAACCCCCCAACCTTTTTTTGCACTCGAGACACCTACGGTAGGTGGAGCCCCCAGCCTGCCTTCGACACAATTTTCCCACCGCACTGATGTTGCTGGACCATACACTTCACCACACAACCCACACGTGGGGCACAATAAGGTCGGCCTTGCAGCGTACATCAGCTCTTACGATGTCGATCATGGGATTGTAACATGCTGCCTTGGGCAGGGCAACAGTGTGAATTCATAAAATCCTACTAGGTTGTTGGCTGTTGAATTGGAATTTTTGTACCAAGTTACGACACCAACACTGTAAGTAAACCGGAATTCGTATTGCGGACCAAGGGAGTAGCAGAAGCCATGTGACGTGCAGTGATGGTGACGCTATGATGTGGCAGGGACTGACTCGCGCACCAGTCAGACGTCTTTGGAGGTGATATCGACTGCGCGAGGCACATCGGGATTCGTGACGGGAGCGCCATTCGATTGATGCCACGTCTTTTTGGCAGAATCAGGTGGTCGGAGATCTGCAACAGGTTGGCAGGCGGGCGGACATAGAGCGCCAAAAGAGCATTGCCCGCCACATACTGTACGCTTTCAAAATGGAGGAGCCGCGTTGACTGGGTCAACGGTCTGGTCAACGCTCTGGTGTTTGAATATGGAATGGAAGGGAACTCATTCCTCTGGCCTCGTCAATCTAACGAAACAAACTGTCCAGCACATTACTTATGTTTGTAGAGATGCAGTTAGTACCATATTCTTACCAGTCCACTAGATTAGGCCTTCTACTTCAACAACACTAGCTTATAACCTTTCCGATCCACATAATTTGGGAGATTTCAAAGTTCTGGTTCCGCCTTGTACCTACACACGAGCAGGGCTCTTGCTAGGATTTGGGGGCGTCTGATTCATCAGACGAGTCCCCAAAGCAAAAAATTGGTTTTGTCTGATCTGGATTGGAAAATCAGATGAATATGAAAAAATTTGCCTGTGTTAGACCATCAGACCAAAATGGTCTGATAACGAGAGCCCTGCACACGAGCGTGCATATTGACCGAACCGACCGGCGAATTATTCTCTCTGTACAAATACAATGAATATCATATGCATTCGCATTTCCTTTAAATTATACCATTCCCCAACCCCCGACCATGTTTGAACCTATTGAATCCATGTAATTTGGTAGATATAGACATTCCATTCGTACATGGTACATGCACTACAGGCGCATATTGACCAAACTGACCAGCGCATTACGTATGTTTGTAGAGATGCAGTTAGTACCATATTCTTACCAGTCTACTAGATTAGGCCTTCTACTTCAACAACACTAGCTTATAACCTTTCCGATCCACATAATTTGGGAGATTTCAAAGTTCCAATTCTGCCTTGTACCTACACACAAACGTGCATACTGACCGAACCGACCGACGCATTATTCTCTCCGTAGTGCATTACGTATGTTTGTAGAGATGCAGTTAGTACCATATTCTTACCCACAAGCGCGCATACCGACCAAACTGACGAGCGCATTACTTATGTTTGTAGAGATGCAGTTAGTACCATATTCTTACCAGTCCACTAGATTAGGCCTTCTACTTCAACAACACTAGCTTATAACCTTTCCGATCCACATAATTTGGGAGATTTCAAAGTTCCAGTTTGGCCTTGTACCTACACACAAACGTGCATACTGACCGAACCGACCGACGCATTATTCTCTCTGTACAAATACAATGAATACTATATTTATTCCCGTTTCCTGTGAATTATACCTTTCCCCACCCCCCACCATGTTTTAACCTATCGGATCTTTCTGATTTTGTAGATATATACATTCCAGTCGTACGTTGTACATGCACTACTGGCATGCAAACCGACCAAACTGATCAGCGCAATACTTATGTTTGTACAGATGCAGTTAGTACCATATTCTTACCAATCCACTAGATTAGGCCTTCTACTTCAACAACACTAGCTTATAACATTTCCGATCCACGAAATTTGGGAGATTTCAGAGTTCCAGTTCGGCCTTGTACCTACACACAAACGTGCATACTGACCGAACCGACCGACGCATTATTCTCTCTGTACAAACACGATGAGTACCATATGTATTCCCATTTCCTTTAAATTACACTATTCACCACTCCCCGACCATGTTTTAACCTATCGGATCAATGTAATTTGGCAGATATAGACAATCCAGTCGTACATGGTTCATGCCCTACAGGCGCGCATACCGACCTAACAGACCAGCGCATTACGTATGTTTGTAGAGATGCAGTTAGTACCATAATGTAGGACTCAATTGGATCGCGCAGGTCCAGTCCGCGCAAGATCATCAGCAGGGTGGAACCCCAACGCACGTCGTTGTCAACTTGCCGCAGACGCTTGTACTGCTTCCCTGGTCGCCAATCCTCCTGCTCCGCCTCGAAGAGGGTCGTCCGTTGTCTTGGCCTTCTACTTCAGCAACACTAGCTTATAACCTTTTCGATCCACATAATTTGGGAGATATAAGAGTTCAAGTTCCGCCTTGTACCTATACACAAGCGTGCATACTGACCAAACCGACCGACGCATTATTCTCTCTGTACAAACGCAATGAATACCATATGTATTCCCATTTCCTTTAAATTATCAGAAGTAGTAGGCAAAGTTTAGAAACAGAAAGAGGGTTTGGACTAGCAGCAGTTGAGATACAAATAGCAAACCCTAGATTGGGCTGTACTCGCTATAGAGTACCCCACTGCAGGCTAGACAAATACAACATTCTGACACACCCCCATAGCCAAAGTGGGGTGTAATCAGCACAACAAGCAGTCATAATAGTAGTTCACATTTTATGAGCAAAGCTAGAGGCAGTCACAGAGGGCAAGTGAGGAGGAGGAGGGCTGGCGAGAGGAGAGAAGAGTGGAGGCGACGACTGAAGCTGCAGACACACGGGCAACAAACGGCTCTGGTGCAGCTCTAGTGGCTACCGGGAGCAAGGGCCCCGGAATACAGGAGTAACAGGCTCTGCGTCTGATCAGCAGCGACAGGAGCAACGGACCCACGGGCGACAGGTGCAACCGGCTCTCTGAGCTACCGGTGGCTATCAGAACCCCGGAATACAGGCGCTGCAGACGACACGACGGCGGCCTCCGCTCAACCTCCCCCAACAGTCCCACACCCCTCGACACACACCCCCTGCTTCGCCCCTAGCTCCACTCCCCTTTCACCCCCCTAGTACCACTCCGTCGGCTCCCCACACACCCACCCCCCTGAGCGGCAGCTGCAGCAGCGGGAGACGGAGGAGGAGGAGAAGGAGGGGACGGGGCACACAACCGGCACCCCCACACCCGCCACCCCCAAACCCTAACACAGGAACGCGGGCAGTAGCGGGGGTGGGGCGCCGACAGAAGCTTGGGGGACGGACGAGGCGCGCGCACGGGTCTGCCGCAAGTGGGACGAGGCGCGCGCGGGCTGCCCGGGCCGCGCGCGGGTCCCAGGGGCGCTTCGACGGGCGACGGGGACGTTTCGACGGGCGACGGGGGGCGCTCCGACGGGCGACGGGGGCGCTTCGACGGGCGACGGGGGGGGGGGGGGGGCGCTTCGACGGGCGACAGGGGGCACTTCGACGGTGGGAAACCGCCGCGCGCCTCGGGGCGCACGGCAGGCAGAAAACCGCCGCACGCCCCGAGCGTACGGCAGGAAGGAGGCGTCGCGCGACCGAGGCGCGCGACAAGTAGAACAGCAGCGGAAGCATTAGGTGGTGGGCCCACCCACAGGATCGACCCAAGGGGGTCGACCTGCTCTGATAGCATGTCAGAAGTAGTAGGCAAAGTTTAGAAACAGAAAGAGGGTTTGGACTAGCAGCAGTTGAGATACAAATAGCAAACCCTAGATTGGGCTGTACTCGCTATAGAGTACCCCACTGCAGGCTAGACAAATACAACATTCTGACACCTTTAATGTACACCATTCTCCACCCGCCGACCATGTTTTAACCTATCGGATCAATGAAGTTTGGCAGATATAGACAATTTTGTCGTACATGGTGTATGCCCTACAGGCGCACATACCGACGAAACTGACCAGCGCATTACGTATGTTTGTAGAGATGCAGTTAGTACCATATTCTTACCAGTCCACTAGATTAGGCCTTGTACTTCAACAACACTAGCTTATAACCTTTTCGATCCACATAATTTGGGAGATTTCAGAGTTCCAGTTCGGCCTTGCACCTACACACAAACGTGCATACTGACCGAACCGACCGACGCATTATTCTCTCTGTACAAACACAATGAACACCATATGTATTCCCATTTCCTTTAATGTACACCATTCCCCACCCGCCGACCATGTTTTAACCTATCGGATCAATGAAATTTGGCAGATATAGACAATTTAGTCGTACATGGTACATGCCCTACAGGCGCGCATACCGACCAAACTGACCAGCGCATTACGTATGTTTGTAGAGATGCAGTTAGTACCATATTCTTACCAGTCCAC